TCCAGAGACTACTTTTTTCATGATGCCACCTTGCTTATCACACACACAAAAAAGAGCTGTTTATGTGGATGTCTGCAAAACCAGGTAACTGCAGGTGGGCACACAACACCCCCTACCCAGGGCCCAAGCCCTTCCTCCCACAGTGCTCTTCACCACCCTGTATTTTAAGGCACTTGTGGGCCATCTGTATAAGGAGCTCTTCTCTTAAAAGAACCTATCAAAGGAGAACCTGAATTGCAGAGTCAAGATCAACGGCCAAACCTTTATGAAGGAATTCTATCCGCCTCCGATGACAAATCCTCTGCTGTTCCCTCTTAGTCCTGTGTCTCTCTGAGGCTTCAGGGTTACACGAGGTCAGTAATTCCATTAAAGGACTCCATTTGTCTTAAGTATACTAGCGAGTAAGGTTCCCTTCATTTGCTAGGTGTGGGACAGAGGGCCCATTCTAGATAAACTGGCACCAGCAATACAAGTAATGAGGCCCCAATCACAGGACTACCCTAAGTAGCATGGTCATGTTCAAACCAAGGTCCGACACCAAAGTCCACACCTTAACCACCACTGGGTGTGACCTCAAGGCCAGTCCCCGATTTGCTACTGACTCTTTAGAAACAGGGAAGGATCAAAGCCAAGCAAAGCAACTAGCTAGTCAACGACATCTGAAAAGAACATTCCAATCCTGAAGGTCTTTGATCCTGCTCTCTCCTCTCTTGGGGCTTACAAAAAGATCAACATTAGTGGACTCTGACTGACGGTATGCAAGAGAGACAGGGACAGATGTTAAGGACCCAACCTTGACCAAACTGAGTCAAGCTCCTCTGAGCCCCCTCTTAACTAGGTCTTGGCCTGATGAGATCAGTTTAGCAAGAATCCTGTAAGAATGGTCCACCTTTGATATCTAATAGAGTTCCTTTTCATAATTTTCCATCCGCTGTCAGCCTGCCCATAAATCCTAACTATCCTTGCTGTATTCAGAGCTGAGCATCTGTCACTAATAAAACTGCTGGAATAAAACCTGTCTTGCTGTTTTCAACAAGTATGTAGTGCAAGTTCTTTGTAATATAGGACACACAGCTACTGAGTCAGACAAGCTTCCCTCTCTAGGGAATCGTCTATTTGTGTGATGATAGTAGAACTGAATTATTAAGGGCAGATTCAGCTCTCATTAAACTTCCTTTCTGAAGAGTGGGATTAAAACAAATCCAACTAGATCTTATCTTAAATCTCAATTGAAAACTATTTTATTCAGGTTAATCAATATTTTTCCTATAGGGGGGTGCCTGGGTGGCTCAGTCGGTTAAGCGTCCGACTTCGGCTCAGGTCATGATCTCATGATTCATGGGTTCAAGCCCCGCGTCCGGCTCTGTGCTGACAGCTAGCTCAGAGCCTGGAGCCTGTCTCGGATTCTGTGTCTCCCTCTCTCTCTGACCCTCCTCTGCTCACACTGTCTCCCTCTCTCTCAGAAATAAATTTAAAAAAATATTTATTTTTCCTACAGGGAAAATTTCTGATTCAATGACAAACCTGATTCTAGATTAAAGTATGCCCTTCAAGGTTTCCTAATTCTAACTGTATGGAATTTTTTTCTTCACATCTCTGTAAACTGGGCTAACAGCAATACAAACAATTGTTTTTGGTTTTTGTTTTTAAGTTTACTTTATTTTTGAGAGAGAGTGCAAGCAGGGTAGGGAGCAGAGAGAGAGAGAGACAGAATCCGAAGCAGGTTCCAGAGTCCGAGCTGTCAGCACAGAGCCTGACGCGGGGCTCTAATCCATGAACTGTGAGATCATAACCTGAGCTGAGCTGAGCTGAAGTCCGAAGTAACGACTGAGCCACCCAGGCGCCCCCAAACAATTCTTATCTACAGACATGCAAATGAATTCTACCAAGTTGAGGTTCAGTTGATTTCTGGTTGTAGAAAGAAGCCAGTTTTGCCTGCCATTTGCACATTCATTTCATTACTTCTGATCTACAAATATATCCACACCATAGGGTCGCCTTTGAACTAGCTGTAAGCACCACACTAAGTTTCCTATATATAAGTTAAATGTAATCTTTACTACTTGTTCACCCTTACATCTGTAGCGTGATGACTTTACCTTCTCTAAAAATTATTTTTTAACATTACAAAAAATATGAGCAATTGAACCACGTTTCAAATGGGCAGTCGATAAACACTTTCAAAATCTCCAAATGGTTAGAATAATTTTGGAATCTAGCAAAGTAAAATCTGCCCAATGGTTAACAGTTTTTCCATGTTTTTATTTTCACGGCTATCTGACACTTGAATTCCTTTTACCAAAACTACAATTTTTGAAACCTGTTATCAATTTAGTTTGTAGTATTTTACCAAAATGACTGAATGACTTTTATAGCTAGATGTTAATTCTTAACTTGAATTTTGTTATAATTTATATTTCAAGAAATTGAAGGGTGGGGGCACCTGGTGGTTCAGTTGGTTAAGTGTCCAACTCTTAGTTTTCGCTAGGTCATAATCTTTCGGTTCATGAGTTCGAGTCCCGCATTGGGCTTTGCACTGGCAGTGGGGAGCCAGCTTGGGATTTTCTCTCTTCCCCTCCCCTGCTTGCTCTCTCTCTGTCTAAAAATAAACTTGAAAAAAAAAAAAGAAATTGAAGGGTAAACATTAAATTACAGAAATGTACAGAGTATGATGTAAAACAACTGTTACTTATCATTGAGCCCAAAACTGTTAATATTTTGCAAGTCTGTGAAGTGTCTTTCCCCATAAAACAAAATTACAGATGAAATTTTTTCCATATCCCGTTCCATTCTCCCCACGCCACAAGATAACCACAATCATAAGTTAGCATTTTTCATTCACTCTATTATACCGTTAAAACCACATATGCCCACTTTATACACATTCCCTTCTAATGGACATTTGCGCAGTTTCAAAAATTTATCATTATAAACAAAGTTGCGGTAAACATCCTAATACTCCACTCCTTGCATACACATGTCTATTTCTTTAGGCTACTTTCTAGAAGCGCAACCACTAGGTCTTCAGATATACTCATTTTGCTAGTGGCTACACTGTTCTAAGGTGCACTTCTATCAGGAGTGAATCTTTTCCTCAAACACCTGTCATCTCTTAATTGCATCGAACTTTATAAATTCCTAATCTGATGGATATAAAGTGATCTAATTATGGGTTTAATTTGCATTTTCTGGATTACACGAAAATTTAAGTGTTATCATATGCCGAACCTTTCAGATTTCAACATCTTTGGTACATATGACAATTTCCCCTTCATAAACTGGGATGTGAATTAGTCTACAAAGCAACTTCTGCAGTTAAAAAGTGCTGGGCAGTTCTTCCAAAGATAGTTATAGGTTGGAAAACTCAAGAAACAGCATTCACTTCGGTATACTTTTACTGAACAGAACTGGGCATGGTGTATTTCATCTCCTTAACTTTTGTCTCCTTTCTTCTCCTTCCCAACTCCAACTGTGTTCAAAAGCCTCACCAATTCTGGGAATTACTGCCTGTGCTCTCTGCTGTGACCTCTCTCAAATACTTTTCCACACTACAGACTACCCAACATACACATCTACTAAATTCAGCTTCCTAGGCTTTCAGGACAAAATCTAAACCTCTTACAGCAGCACAGGAGGCCTTGCAAGATATACCACTCTCTTCTCATGAAATCTACCACCCACATGAAATCCTTTGTTCCAACCAGGCTCCAAGACTTCAAGTCCAAAATCCTTGCTCTCTCCACGCCTTCACCCACTGTTTCCCAGGTGAAACGCTCTTCTCCTTCCTTCATCACACTAGCTCACGCCCATCCCTCAAACTCCATTTGGGTTTCCCCTTCTCTGCTAAATTCTATTTCTTCCCACAAATCTGGATTCGAGGCTTCCAACAGGGTGAGATGCTGGCCCTGGGCAAACCCTCTTAACACTACAATGGTTCTCTATAGTCAGCCTCTCCCCTTCACAAATGACCCCTGCTCAAAGAGCATAGTAAGGCTCAATAAACGTTTGCTAACCAATGGAACCCTACAGTAAAAGAGCTGAGCTACGCCACTCGCTGCCACAGTGAAAGCCTCAAATTCTGGGCATTTATTTGCATCTATAGAACGAAGCACGTGGTACAAAGTTCCTTCTTCCAACCACCAGGTTCTACAATTCTTGGCCTGGAATAACCCATGTAGGTTTGCACCTCTAATAGGGGCAAGAGACCAAATCAAGCTTTCACTTTCATGCCAGAAGTGAATCATCCCACCAGCTCAAGCCTCTGGGAACGAGGGCATCCCTAACTTCTGAGAAGGGATGTTTTTACACGTTTGGGTATTTCTGTTGTGGTAGTTCACAGCGTTCCCCTTTAGACTACAGAGATCTGGGTGGAAATGGATGCAACACTCCGCATTAAAAAGAAGCTGGGGCGCCTGAGTGGCTCCAGTCGTGATCTCACCGCTGGTGAGTTCCAGCCGGCCTCGGGCTGGGTGCTGACAGCTGGGAGCCTGGAGCCTGCTTCGGATTCTGTGTCTCCCTCCCTCACGGCCCCTCCCCCGCTCATGCTCGCCCGCTCGCTCACTTAAAAATAAAACATTGGAAAAAAAAAAAAGAGCACCAAAAAGCTGAACTGCTCCTAGTTTGTGACGGTCGGAAGCAAACCCCAGACCCTGCCCAGCACGCCCTGCCTGTGGCACCAGAGCAAAACATTCTCTCCGCGCACCGGCGTCCCGCTGAGCCTGGGAAGAAGCGACAGGGCTTCCAGCCCGAGCTCTCGCAACACAGGAGGGCCCCCATCAGCCCACGATCACCCCTCGGGAGGGCGGGCTAAGAGGTCGCCGCCTTTCCCTTGGGATTCCGCGCCTCACGAAACTCTCTTCCCGGGGGTGAGAAAAGGATTACTCAAAAAGGGTCGGGGACATTGAAAATCGCGGCCGTGAGGCCCAGAGCCGCGGCAGAGAAGCAGCCCTGGCTCGGGCCGTGGGGCCTAGCCCGGGTCCCCAGCTGGGGCTTGCAATTACCTGCAGCAGACGACCGCGGAGGCGGCGGCAGCGGCGGACGGCAGGACCGTGGGAACTCCTCGCGACGCGCAACCTCAGACGAGCCACCTCGTGATGTCCGCCGTGCAGTGATTGCGGCGCTCCAGCAGGCTCCAGAATTTAATGGCCCACCGCGCTGCGGTGATTGGTGGAGCTTCGGGGTGGGCGTCTGAGAAAGCCAATGGGAGGCGGGGAGAGGCGGGGCCGGCAAGCCAAAGGGACTACAAGTCCCAGCATGCACCGGCAGAGCATCTAAGCCAGGGGCCCGCAAAGCCTGGAGGGACAGGGTTAGCAACGGAGTAGAGTTGGGGTGTCCTGGGGTGCGCAGGACCTCCTGGAGATGCAGTAATTCCAGAATGGTCCACCGAAGGATCAAAACCAGCGCGCGGATCACTTTAACCCAGTGGCTTCCAAACTCGTCACACTTTGGAATCATCTAGGGAAGCTTCAAAAGTATTGAACTCTCCTGTGTCACCCCAGACTTGTTGTGAGTTCCTTGGTCTGCACGTGTCCTGGGTTTTGGAATCTTTAAAGAGCCCCCCGGAGATTCGGATATGCAGATCCATTTAATTCTCAAGACAATCCTACGAGAGATAGGCACTATTATTGTGGCCCTGGCTTTGCAGTTAGGACGGACACTAAAGGAGGTTCCGTCACGTTAGGTAAGTTATCTTCTGAAGATCACACAGCTCTGAAGTGGTGGGGAGCCAGAACTCACACCCAGGCAGTCTGGTTTCAGAATCCTATCCTCTAAATCTCTATGCAGTGCTCTTTCTCAAATGTTTGTTTGGTATTATTATCTCACAAGAAAATGGGAGAAAGAAGAAATACTATACATACCAGTGCCACGTGGCACAGCAAATTGAATTGAATGGAATTGATATGAGGAAATAAGTGTAATCCTCCCCAAGGACATCAAGTGTAAGATCTAGGGCTACATTCATGGGTTGTCTCTTTCGATCTTATAACCTTTTCTTACAGTAAGTCATGTGTCAGCATATTGCCCTGGGCCAGCTCACTACTTTTGTAAATAAAGGTCTGTGAGAACATAGCCACGCCCACTGGTTTAGGTATTATCGCTGGCTGTTTTTGCAAACAGCGCAGAGTTGAGTACTTACACAAAAGACCAAGTGCCCCACAAAATCAAAAATATTTGCTGTCTGACTATTTACAGAGAAAGTTTGCCAACCCTGAGTTAAGTACTTCTCCACACTCATAGCTTGGAAGTGCCCATGATCTTCAGGCTCAGCTCCGTCCAAGTCTAAAACCAATTCTCATGACCACTATGCTTTCATGATCTTCCTTGTGGAGAGTGTTAGGAGGCCATTCAATCATTTATTCATTTAGTGGATGTCCCTTATGTGCCAAGTGTAGCTGAGCATTGAGAGAAATGGAAGTATGTACCTTCCCCCTTGGAAATTCACTGTCTAGTAAAAGAGGAAGAGTGTGACTCCCTCAAGTCACCCAGAATAAGTGGTGACATTTGGCTGGTTAGGTTTTCACAGATGAAATGGTATAGAAGTGGTGGCCCGATGCCAGTCATGTTTAGGCAAATGAGGTACCAGGGATAGCCCCCTCAGTCTCCCTCAGCCGCACTGAGCTCAGAATGTGGGACAAGAGAAGGGACAAGAAAGTGGAGGACCGATGGAGGTTGCCAAGGTACGTTCATCGAGTTCAAGTTCACCGAGTTCGCACGGTGCGCTCTGCCGTCCAGCTTCCTGGATTCCCATCCCATCTCCAGCACTTACGAGCTGTGTGACATGGGCAGCTTACTCAGCTTCTCAATGCCTGGGTTTCCTCAACTGTAAAATGGAAAAACAGCACCTACTTCATAAGGTCTCTCTATAAATTAAATGCCGAGGAGGAGAAGATAGGAATCTCTGACCTAGGGCACTGCCTGTGCTCTGTTACCTGTACGCAGAGTGCAGCCTGGTGTGGGAAGGGCAGCACCAGCCGGCTGCAACAGGAGGGGAGAGAGAGGCGCCAAACAATTCCAGGGTGGCGGAGGGTGGCAGGCTTCCTGTCAGCATATAGGCATGGGGACACCCCCCTCAAATGTCCCCGGCAGAATTCTCACAAGGAAAGGCAGGCACAGTGTGAAACTCAGAGCTTAGTGAGGCTCAAATCAGATATAAATATGTGATACCACAAGAATGCGGCAGATAACCCAGTCACCAGAGGTAAGAGCACTGAGAGGAGCCATTTCAGATTCCGTCTGTTTGTATCTAATAGTAGGAGACCACGTGAGAGATTAAGATTATAAAGCAATAAGAGTTGGAGAGAGCATGAAAGGAATTGGTTAAGTTCAGAGCAGGGTTGCTTCACCTCAGCACGACTGATCTTTGGGGCCAGGTAATTCTTTGTTGTGGGGGGAGGTAGGGGGGCTGTGTCGCACCTTAAGTGTTGTTCGTGTCCCTGGAGGCTACCCAGAGCACCCTCCCTTCATGTAGTGACAACCAGAGATATCTCTAGACATTGCAAGTCTCCCCGGGGGGAGGAGGGGCAAAATCTGTGCACACACACCTGCCTCCATGTTGAGAACCACTGCTTGAGAGACGGATAGGGCTCAACATGTCAGTCAGTCATTCTGTTTGATGTGATGGTTAAAGGCATGGACTCTGGATCCAGACTTCCTGGGTTTCAATTCCATCTCTGCCACTTCCTGGCTGTGGGATCCTAGACCGTCACTTCACTTCTCTGTGTTTCATAGAGTTGTTGTAAAGTTCAAGTGAATTGATACACAAGATGAAAAAAACTCAGAACAGAGTCTAGCTAAGTGTCAGCTATTTATTGAGGACATGGTAAGTGACAGGCACTAGCCTGAGCCCTGACGATCCCCACGGTCAATTGTCCCCACCACAGAGAGGCTGACCTTTTTTTTTAAATGTAAATATTTCAATTGAAGTATGTAAGGGGTAAACTGAGGCAGGCACAAAACAAGATGAGTTTATTTGGGAATAGCAGAGGAATTGCAGTTTGAGACAAGCAAACTGCCCCAAGCCACAGGGGAGTCCATTGAGGGTTTGGGGTAGGTTGTATTTGGGGGCAGGGAATGTAAAGAGGGGTTCAGCCAGAAGTCAATTAGAATCAAACTCAAATGGAGACCAGCTTCGAAAATGAAGGGGTTCAGGACAGCCCCCACCCTCCCAGAATGTGCCACTTTGTTTTGTTTTGTTTTTTTAATGTTTACTTATATATTAGAGAGAGAGAGTTTGTGCATGAGCAGGGGAGGGGCAGAGAGAGAGGGAGAATCTGAAGCACGCTCCAGGCTCTGAGCTGTCAGCACAGAGCCCGACGTGGGGCTCAAACTCATGAACTGCGAGATCATGACCTGAGCCAAAGTCGTACACTCAACTGACTGAACTACCCAGGCGCCCCTGCTCCTCTTCTTATGTGAAATGCATCCGTTTCTCTGAAGTCCAGACCCTTGCTCCTTTTCCTTAGTTCAGGATGACCTGTGTTTTGCTTGTCTTCAGAATTTCCATGCCTGTGTGGATTTCCAGTACATCCTACACTATGAAACATGAGTTTCTCCTGTTAACCTGTCTTCTGTCAATTTGATTCTAGAAGGACCTTTGAGGGGACCAGAATTTTTGCTCCCTGACCTAGTAAACTATATGTAACATAAAATTTGCCAGTTAAACCATTCTTACGTGTACAGTTCAGTGGCATGAGTCACATTCACGTGGCTGTGCAGCCTATCCACTTCTGAAACTTCTTCCAAAATCAACTTAAAAACCATACCCGTCTTCCTTGAATAAAATCCTACCTGGCTAACGTCATCTGACTCCTGCTTATTCCCATGACCTCGCTTCCTGCCTCAGGACTCACTGCACTGCGGCTGACCCAAAATAGCACAGAAAAGCCTGTTTATAGCCTTTCACCCTGCTTTACTATCTCTATACATTTCTTAATTTCCTGTCCTAGCTCTCCAATAGAACTGAAGAGCAAGGGCCTAGTCTCCCTTATTTATTTCTATACCCCAGTGCCCCAAACAGTAGCTGCCATGAAATAGGTACTTAATAAATATCAGTTGAATTAAAAGGCACAATAAAGGTACCTGCAGGTTGCTGTGGTCCTGAACGCATAGGGATGGGGGTGAGGGAGGGGTGCCATCTCTTCCTGGTTGTTTATGAAGGATTTCCAAGCAATCAGTAAACATTTACTTAACTCTGTGGTAGACAGTATTCTTAGAATGGCCCCCCAAATAACCCTTACTCATGTGTAATCTCCTCCTCGTTCAGGATGGGTGAAACCTCTGAATATGATGTGTTAAAAAGGAAATGGCAGATCCAAAATGGAGTCGCTTATGCTAAGCTCCGCATACCAGACCAAGACTTCATGCCTAACCTAATTGCAGCTTCAGCCTTTCCCAAGAGTGGAATTTTAAGCCAATCGGCCCGGAATTTCCTGATCTACACTAAGGAAGTACTCTGCATGATGGACTCCTACCCTTCCCACCCGCACAACACCTCCTGCCCTCCAAGAAAAGTGACCTTGCCTGAAACAGTGTTTTCTTTTCTTTTGCCAATAACTTCCTTGTCCCACCCATTTCTGCCTGTAAGTCTTCATTTTATACAACTCTTCTGAGCCCCTTTCTACTTGCTAGCAAGATGCTGTCTGATTCATAAATCGTTGAATAAAGCCAATTCCATCTTGAAATTTACACAGTTGAATTTTGCCTTTTTAACATCGCATATCGCTCTCATGGTTATGCTATATGGCAAAAGGGAGATTATCTTGGGCGGGTGAGCCTGCTCTAATCATGCAAGCCCTTCAAAAGCAGTTGCCTCTGGCTGGTGGTAGAGATTCATGTCTGATAAAGATGAAGGCACATCACAGTAGCTGCTCAATAATTGCTCATTTTCATCTTCATTTATCCCCATTGCACTTTCTAGATTAGTCTTACAACCATCTTGCATCCTGCCCCCTACACTACCAGACCACTGACACTTTTAGATCTTAACACTTCTGGAAGATCGCCTCTCTGTCCTAACCTTACTGTGGCCTTCAGGGCCCTCCATGAGCTGGCTCCCCAGCTCCCTCTCCAAGCTCACCTCACCACCTGCCCCCTCACCCCCTCCTTGCCACC